ACAAGAGCCCCCAGTTTGTTATGGGCCAGACAAGATCCCTCAAAATATTTTAAGAAGATAGCCTAGATCCTAGCTTTTTCTTATGTTGAAGGCAAATGTAATGTTCTGTGTTCCAGATACAATTCGATTGGTCAAACTGCTTGACGTTTGGCAAAACAATTTATTTAAACACTATAGTTAAAATACAACAAAAGAATAACTTACAGTAACTTAACTCTATTGGAAAACTTAACCGAATAATAGATACTGTAGCTATTACTAATTAACTGTTCCAATATAATAACATCCCATGAATACACCCCTTGGCAAAAAGGCCAATTCAGAAACATAGATTTGTCTCACGGGTAACCCAGCTGCAGAGAGAAACCCCAGCTTCTAGCTGTAACCCACAGAAAGAAAAGATAGCTTCTACTTCTTCAGAGACTCCAACAGCAACTGCTTAAAGCTAAACCCAAAAAACTAAAAACTTAAAAAAAAACTAGAAATCCTGGTCTGTGAGAGCTGGCTATGCCCATCCATGATGCTACTATTGTTCCAACTTTTAGAAAAAAAACCTAAGGCCTTACAAGTTGTTTACTTTCCTATAGACTGCTCATCACCTGTCACCCAATCTCTGTCTAAAAGAAACCAGGACAAAACACACCTCTTAAAACCATAGCTTCTTCACAACACAGACAAACCAACTCCTCATCACTGCTCACCATGTGATACACACAGACAAACCAAGTCCCCATCACTGCTCACTGTGTGGTACACAGACAATCCAAATCTCCATCACTGCTCAGTGTGGTCGACAAACCAAAAGCCCATGTCTGCTCACCAGAATATTCAGCCCACAAGTTTGTATGGCATTCTAGTGAATGGTGTCTAAGACATTCCTCAGAATTAACCCTTTCAGACTTGTGCACCAAAGGACAATTAAAATTAATCACATAGTGGACTAGACATAATCTTGAACCAGCCCCTCAGTCTTTGGGCAAACTTCATGTAACAGTGCACACACTGCACAAAGCTGCAAATTCACCACCCAGGAATTTGTGGTGATAGTTTTCATCATTCACATTCCATTAAATACTTACCAAATACAGCATGTGCTTGGTTTAGTTTCTGTTCACAATGTAATTCACCTATGTGCGTCCTTGCTGAAGTTGTGTTTTAGGATGCAATCGGGGCCTGGTGTTCCCCTGCAAAGGGGAAGCAGGGTTTAACCCACAGTCTTGATAAGGCAGCAAGTGGACTGAAAAGATACAAATCAGCCATGCACACTTAGCAGGATAGTTAAAATCAGGGCTTAATTATTGAAATGTACCTCAGAGTTACTGGGGAATTGTCTGTTCCTGTCACCTGAGGAGAGGCCAGATTACCAACAATAGAAAAGCTATCTGAAAATGAGATAGTAGGAACTGCAGATGCTGGAGAATCCGAGTCTAGCTATCTGAAAATGATTTCTTTTACTCTTTTCTAAATGTTCTCAACATTTGAATTGATGTAACACTTCTGGCAGACAGATAGGGAGCAGTGAAGTTGTAATTTTGGAGCATGGCTCTACAAAAAGTAACGTGTCTACAATAATTAGTTGTTACAACTGAGAAAACTGTCAACTTCATTCTGATTTTGGTTATAGGGTCGGGGTCGAACAATTTGTGTAGTGTTTTTGGATAGGAAGGATCATAAGTCAGCCAGGTCTTGTTTTCTTGTTCAGTGTCTATCCCAGAGGCATGTTTTGATGTTGGGTAGAAATAGGATCAGGTTTGCCTGTGGTTCCTTTAGCCATTGAATATCTTGCTGGCTGTCGCTGGACCAGAAAAAAGCTCATTGGGAAGCTGTGCTGGTGGTGAACTATGCTGCTGGACTAATATTTCAGGGAATGTGAGTTCACATGCTGTTTCAACACTGGCACTGTGGAGTTCAAATTCCACAGGAATTGTGTTGTGTTCAAATTTATATTTGAATCTGTAAAATAAATTGGTATAAGCAAATGTGCCCATGAAGGTTTTGAATTGTTGTAAAAATAGGGTGGTTTACTAATGTCGCTTGGAGAAGGAAATTTGCTGTCCTTACCTGATATGGGTCTGATCATCGCTGCATGCCACCTACATAACTGACTTTTAACTGACCTCTTAGGTGGTCTAGGGAGCTACTTAATAACAATTTGGGGATGGACAGTAAATGCTGGCCTTGCCAGTGAAGCCTACATCCCAAGAGTAATTGTTTTAACTGGCTGTTTATTCCTAAAGCCTTATTTAAATCTGTAGCAGTGCATCCAGTTTCTCCAGAGGGATTCTGATTAATTATGCAAACAGCGAGGTGTACAGGGCAAGACAGAACTGAATCTTATTTAATAATTTACATTTTGAAATGTAGCTGCCATATCCTTTAGGCTTTACAGCCATTTTCCATGAGTGTTTTCTTTTTGTTTTTGCAAATCCTATATTTATTTGTCAGCTTTCTCATTGTTTTGTCTTTTAGATGTAATGCAGTGGCTAAAACTTTCAACTGGTGACAGGGGCTGGTTGTGGCACTTAATGAATTTCAACATGTCATTGAGCCAGGACAGCATTATTGCTTAGGTTCAATCCATCAGTCCTGAAAACCCACTGTTTATAGATTTTTCATGACTGACAGCTGGAACTGAGGAGAGTGACTGGGGACAGGTACCAAGAGTGACCTGGAAAAAGTGACTGTGGGTATCGATCTGGGAGAATGACTGGTGGGAATGACCCAGGAGAATGACCTGGGGTTGGGAGTGGGGAGAGTTTCGAATGAAACGAACAGCACCTTAGCTCAGTGGTTGACAGTTAGTTGTTCCAGTTTCTGCTTCTGAATGCCAGCCTGACTAGGAAAATAAAGAGCTACACCATTATCACCTGTCAATCGTGTATGTCACTCAGAATTCCTAAATGTTTAGGAATGGCAATTAAATATTTGGATGGATGAATCTTGTCAGTGTGCAATTGTATGTTCAGATAATGATCAGTTCAACCTTTACTGTATGACATTGTACAGTACAGCCTCGGTATGCCTGACTATGAGAGCAGTCTGACTGATTTGACTAATTTTAATGTGTAACTAGCTCATGAACACACCATCTCAGACACTGTGTGTTGAAACAAGCATACTACTAAATACAGAACTTATCCTGCATTTCCTCAACTTCTTACATCGTCACAATTAAAGTGCTTCAGACAGTGACTTGCATCAAAGTGCAGTGAGGTCTTATCGTTTGTTCGTGGGATATAGACACTACTTAGACTCATAGAGTCATAGAGATGTACAGCAGGGAAACAGACTCTTTGGTCCAACTTGTCAATGCTGACCAAATATTCTAATTAATCTAGTCTCATTTTTGGCCCATATCCCTCTAAACCCTTTGTATTCATTTACCCATCCAGATACCTTTTAAATGTTGTAATTGTACCAGCCTCCACCACCTCCTGGTAGCTCATTCCATACATACACCACCTGCTGCATGAAAAAGTTGTCCCTTAGGTCCTTTTTAAATCTTTCCCCTCTCACTTTAAATCTTTGCCCTCTAGTTTTGGATTCCCCCACCCCGGGGAAAGGACCTTGTCTATGTACCCTATCCATGCCCCTCATTATTTTATAAACCTCTATAAGGTCACCCCTCAGCCTCCGATGCTCCAGGGAAAATAGCCCCAGCCTATTCAGCCTCTCCCTATAGCGCAAACCCTCCAACCCTGGCAACATCATTGAAAATCTTTTTTGAGCCCTATAGCAGGGAGGCCAGAATTGAATGCAGTATTCCAACAGTGGCCTGACCAGAGTTTTGTACAGCCGCAACATGACCTCCCAACTCCTATATTCAATGCACTAACCTATAAAGGCAAGGATATCCAATGTTTTCTTCACTAACCTGTCTACCTGTGACTCTACTTTCAAAGAACTATGAACCTGCACCCCAAGGTCTCTTTGTTCAGCAACACTCCCCAGCACCTTACTGTTAAGTGTATAAGTCCTACCCTGATTTGCCATCCCAAAATGCAGCACCTCACATTTATCCAAATTAAACTCCACCTACCATTCCTTGGCCCATTGCCCATCTGGTCAAGGTCCCGTTGTACTCTGAGGTAACCTTCACTGTCCATTACACCAGCAATTTTGGTGTCATCTGCAAACTTACTAACCATACCTCCTATAGTCACATCCAAATCATTTATATAAATGATAAAAAGCAGTGAACCAGCACCAATCCTTGCGGCACACTGCTTGTCACAGGCTTCCAGTCTGAAAAGCAACCCTCCACTACCACACTCTGTCTCCTACCTTCGAGTCAGTTTTGTATTCAAATGCATTTATTGCCCATCCCTAAATGCTCTGGACATGGTGGTGATAGCTGTCTTCTTGAACCTCTGAAAACTTTTGGGATGTAGGGACGCCCACACTGATGCTAGAGTATTCCAGGATTTTGACCCAGCAACAGTGAAGGAACAACAGTGTAGTTCCAGATCAAGATGGTGTTTGGAGTGGAACTTGCGGGAGATGGTGTTCCAATGTCGCCCTTGCCCTTCTAGTTGGTTAGAAGTCACAGGTTTGTAAGGTGCTGTCAGAGAGTTGGACTGAAGGATCTGTTTCCATGCTGTACATCTCTATGACCATGAATTGACAGCATCTCTGTGTTCTTTCCCTCTTTGGTGACTCATCTTGAGATAATTGCAGTCTAGTCCCAATATGAGGCTAGTTATATAATTTCTGGGAGCCATTTTGTAGGATTATCTATCTGCTATAAAGTTAGATTAACTTTTATGTTACAAAATATATTATAATTACACAGTCGTGACTCTTGGAAGTATGTACTAAGCCTGTGCCTTAAGCCCCAGGGAGCGACCAGTCAGAATCACTGAGTGTGGAATGTTGCAGAGTAAAGCATCAGTTCTCAAAGTGTGAGGAAGCTTGGAGATCAGATTCCAGCTGTTGTTTCCCACATGCATGTGAACTTCTCAAACATTTGACAGTGTAATGTTTTCTGCCCATAGATTACTTTCTTCATGCTGCTGTCGGCTGTGTGTGTAATACTGAACCTGGCTGGCTCCATCCTATCCTGTCAGAACACTCAGATGGTGACCTCCCTGGAGGAATGTCACCTGGTATGTCACTGATCCCCAATCCCTACTCATTTTGTATTGACATGTGGGTCGCAAGGTTTGGCTATAAAGTAAAAAGTAAAAATCTTATGTTGCCAATGAAACATAGAAAATAGAAGCAGGAGTAGGACACTTGGCCCTGTGAGCCTGCTCTGCCATTCAATATGATCATGGCCAATTATCCAGCTCAGTACTCTGTTCCCAGTTTCTCTGCATAATAACCCTAAGAACCATATTTAAATCCTTGAAAACATTCAGTGCTTTGGCCTCAGCTGTTTGCTGCTTAGACTGTGACTCCTGGTTCTGGATTCTCCAGACATTGGGAATGTCTTTCTTGCTTTTACCCTATCTAGTCCGATTCAAATTTTATTGGTTTCTATAAGATCCCTCCCTCTTGTAAACTGCAGTGAATATAAGTCTATCCAATCCAGTCTCTTTTCAGTCCTGCCATCCCAGCAATCAGTGTAGTGATCTGATGCCAACAGGAATTGGAGGTGGCTGTGGCGTATTCTGAAACTCCATACAGATACTGACCTCAGTAAATCAAAGGCAACAGGATCACCACAAAATATGTTGGACAAAATATGTAACTGTGTAGGACAATAGCAGGTTTAATTTAGTACCGAAAAAAACCCTGTGGGAACTGTATAATTCCATTTTTTGTAGCTGCTGCCTCTGATGGCTATTTTTTTGTTTGGCAGTATAAATTTGATGGTGATGGGGTGTGTGTTTGCTGTGAGATTCAGGAGCAAACAAAAGGTTGCAGCAGCTTCACTGAAACACTGAAACTTAACGCAGTCCAAGAGTGTGGCACAGTGCGTCTAGCTTTAAAGGTAAGGTTCTCCTGAAGCCAGCCCCAAACACGGATCCAAACAAATCCAGTCACAGAGCCTGATATGACCTTGAGCACAGAACTGAATACGTTCTAGCCCTAACCACAGAACCAATGAAAACCCTGACTGCAAAATCAAATCCAGTCCTGGTTGCAAAGCTAATTCCAATTCTGAATGCAGCATGCGACACGGAGTACAGAAATTAAATTAAAAAGTGCTTAAAACTTCCAGCAGATTGGGCAGCATGCGTGGACTAAGAAACAGAATGAATGCTTCATTTTGGTAACCTTTCACCAGAATTGAACTGAATTATTTTGAAGGTCACGAAACAAGCAGATGCTGCCTTACCTGCAAGGACATTTCCAGCATCTTTGGTTTGTATTTTTCTACATACACAGTAAATTGACTTTGCACTGGGCACAAAACATTGGAAAAGAATTGCCAATGTGTACTCACACAGTGACACTTGAAAACCTCACCCTATGTCCTTTGAGTGTTACCCCCACAATTTAGTATTGGGATAAACACACTTACTGTGTTAAAAATAAAGTGAGGAGTGATGAATGTTCAGGCCAATGGATCATTTAATTGCATTTCATTTGCATTGTGCCTGCTATTTTCTACAAAACTTATAATCCTGGTGTCTCTACACAGGATCTTTTAATCAGCATCTGTGCACTGAATGTCATCTCTACCATCGTATGTGCCTTGGCTACTGTGACGTGCTGTATGCAGGTGGCCACAGCTGATATTATGCTGATGGTAAGTGTCTGTTCATTAATGGAGAAACAGTATTTCTAATAAGACTGTGCCTGTTTACTATCCTGCAGGAGATGCCTCTTTCAGCACCTTGAGCAATTATATGTAAATTGCTCAAGGTCCTGAAAGAGGCGTCTCCTGCAGGATAGCCCCATCCATCATGTACATCGAGTGCATTTCTCCTAAAATTCAAATCTTGTTTCCCACTCGGAAACTTTAGCACAGCCTTCAGAAAAAAATAAAGAAATGTTTCTTTTAGTGAGGAATTTTAAGTAGTTTGAGCCAGGGGCATAGTTGCAAAGGTTGAAGGAGGTGAGAAAAAATAAAGTTCTATAAAGCAATGAGTGACCATAGGAGACAAGGGGGCATTCTGATTTTTAACCCTAATCTGTTTTAACCCTAATCAGTTTTGATCTACAATAGCAAGAGATCGCATCATGCCTTAGCAGGATCAGTTGTAATCGGTAAAAATATTATGGAGGAGAGAGAGTCCTTGAATGTTTGAGTTATGAGGAGAGACTGGATAGGGTCATAGAGTCATACAGCACAGAAAGAAGGGGCAGAGATACAGTGAATAGCCAAGGTGTTTTCTCCAGGGTAGGGGAATCCAAAACTAGAGGGCATAGGTTTAAGGTGAGAGTGGACCTAAGGGGCGACTTTTTTTTTACAGAGGTTGGTGCATATATGGAACGAGCTGCTAGAGGAAGTGGTAGAGATGGATACAATTACAACATTTAAAAGATATTTAGACAGGTACATGGATAGGAAAGGTTTAGAGGGGATATGGGCAAAACACAGGCAAATGGGACTAGTTCAGTTTAGGAAACCTGGTTGACATGGACAAGTTGGGCCGAACGGCCTGTTTCTGTGCTGTTGAACTCTGAGTTGTGAATTACAGAATTATACTGTGGCTTTGGTGGTATGTAAATAACACCCAGCTGTCTGAGTTTACTGAGTTGGCCCCAGTACCTGCATTGTTAGTCCAAATGTTTTGAACATTGTTATGACTGTGAGGAGAGGAATGTGCTGGTATACAAGCCCCATACTCCGCCCTTCACACCAAAAATATGGTTTGCAATGCCATAAGCGTGGGTTCAGTTCTTGCACTGGCTGAGATTACCATGAAGGGCTTTCCTTTTCAACTGCTCTCCTCACGTGAACTATGATGACCCTCTAGATAACCACCACCAGTCGTCTCTGTAATGAGACAGCAATCCAATGGTAAATTTACCTTTACTTCATAAATGTGTATCACCAAAATGCCATTGGTACCCTTTTGTACTACCATCCAGAATGACAGACCTTCACCATGCCACTTTAATGAATTCAATAATACATGTATTGTAACTCAAATCTGAATTTTGAAAAAAATGGCTAATGCTGGTTAACAACATCTGGACTACGGAGGGTAGAAGAGTAGTTGAGGCAGGAAGCCTCTCAATCTTCATAAAAAGTGCTTGGATGAGTGTTTGAAGTGTCGTAAATTCAAGGCTGAGCCAAGTACAGGAAAGTGGGACTAGTGTAGGTAATAGTGTATTTTTTCTGTACAGACTTGATGGGCTGAAGGGCCTCTTCTGTACTGAATGATTCCATGATTTAATGATAGTCCTGTTTTTAAACTAGGTTCACTTAATTCCAAACACAGACATTCTCACTCAACACGAGACAATAATAGTCTCTGCAGAGATAATAGTTTGAAAGAAAAGGGAAAAAAATACCTTTGTTATTCAAAGGTCTGTTATTCAAAGGTCTGTAAGCAAAGGATGGAATTTGATGATTCCTCATGGTCCATTATTGACAGCTGTTGAATGATGGAAGAGCTTTAGTTTGGATTGAAATTAAACTGGATCCTAGTCTGTAGAAAGTGGCCACAGTTTTTCAGCATCTATAAGGTTGTCAAAAATACAGATATTGAGAAATTTTATCAGGTTCCCAGAAATTTCTGTTGTGGTGTTAGAGGGGGTGGGGGGTGCAAGGAAGAACTTGCAGCTCCTGGAGTTTCTTCTTTACATCTAGTTAGGTCTCTAAAACAGAAAATTAAGTCAAAATGTTTTTAGGCAACCATTAGCATGAAGAGAGATA